AAGGAGAAACAATCAATCACCTTTTTAAGAAGTTAACTGTAACTCCTGGAGCAGAGTATACAGCTTCCGTTCGAGTCTGTTGGAATTCTGTTTGTTCCGTGTTTGTGAACGTCATCAATACTGCGTTTATAACACTGAAACGTAAGCTAGATTTGCATGATAGGAGAATTTCTCTAATTTTACTAAACCTAAGAATCCATAGCTGCAAGTATATCTGATTATCCTAACCACCTACCCTGATCAAAATCATGGCTGAACGCTCATCACCAGAATTGTTGAGATTGCAGATCCGCCACTAGCCTTTCTGAAAAGATCAAATGAACTGACAAGCGCTTTGGACGTGCTTGGAGAAGAGATGCAAGCTGAACATATTGGTTTGTTCCTTGGAAAATGAGTGGACAAAGGTTGCAGAAAATATTTCCAGTGAGAGTCTTCCAGCCTTGTTGTGATGGTATAATGGCATTTGATAATACTACACAGACTCTTTACAAACTTGACTCCAATGAGGTACGTTTGAGAGAAAGGTGATGTTATAGACTACGTGGAAGAAAATGTTTTCGTTTGAGGGAAATGTTGTATTCCATCGTCTATCTGAACCTGATGAAGTTTACGTATTCACAAGTTTTTTAACTTTGAAGTTTATCACAGTGCTTGCTAGTCGTGCTATGATAGTACTTGCTTCCTCCTATCAGATCATCAGCTATCGACTGACTGGAGCTGTGGAACATGTGTGAGGAATTCTTCGCAAATGACGACAGATCCAATTTTGCTGCGTTCATTTGATATTTTAGCGTTTACTCTTGTTCGACAGCTATAGAGGATTGCGCTGAGGTCGTTGGTCTCTCATCGGATGACAGAACCGGAGAGATTCATTTCCTAGTTCAGGTGTAAAACACGTCTTAGTTTGTCTGAACATACTTTATGCCCTACTGTTTTCAGCATCCTAATGGAACCGTTGCACTTTACGAATTGAACCAGGATGACAGGACCCCACACCTGCTTTCAACATCAATAGACTTGCCAGCGTGCGTCTTTCAGTTCCGAACTCAGTTGCATTTATATCTAGCTACATACAAAACTTTTTATTGAATGGTGGAACTGTTTCATTCAAATCCACCGCTTACTTCATCATACTCCATCCGTGAAAACGTATTTCAAATGACTCCATTAGGGTCAATCTTCTGGTAGGATAGTTAATAAGTAGTTGACACCCCGGCAGGAGGTTTCCGACTAGCTTTACGAAAATGAATACCCTTTGAAAACTCAGCAATTGTGAAGCCCTCTTTGTAACCTGTAGAAACGTGTGCAGACAGAGCATGCAGCCCCGCGCTGTTTGCTTGGAGCACGTTTTCTTACCCAAGTAGACGTTTAGACGTTTAGGGCTATAGAAAAGAAGGAAGGAAACGCTTTCATCTGTTATCGCTTTAAAGATGGGTCAATGGGGCATAAAAAATGTTTGGTATAAGACCAAAACTATCAGAAGCAGATAAATCTAATAAGTTTGCTAAATGGGGATCTGAAGTCTCCCGTAGGTTTTCGCCGCAGATCTAAATCATAAAGAGGTAGGCGATTTTTTCTCATAGGTTCGCAGAGATTTCACATGCAATTTTAAAATTCCTTGCTGCGCGTCTTCTTCGAAAGTTTGGAGGCCGCTCATTGGCCGTAATTCCAGTGATTCACCTCTCCTCATAGGTTAGATTCATAGAGCCACGGCTCTGATCACCTTCACTAATGAGCAAAGAAAGAGTAGGACCCTCACGTAAGAGAATTTGAGTAAGTCAATTTTCTACATACTAGAAGTCGAAGACACTATAAGACCAATAGAGGGAGTGAATGTCCATTCTATCGTTAACAAAATAAGATTACGATATTGTAGCACTTAAGAACTTTGGATTTTAGGGGCAATGTTGGGGCTTTTGTTCCATGAGAAATGAAAAGATGTAGTTTTGGAGGTAGATTGGGGTTGAAGGCTACAAAGTGTAGAGAGTGAGTGCTTCCGCCCTATAACTATCTTTTTCAGAACAGTTGATGTGTCTAAAAACATCGAGAGGCCCCTCTTTGAAAGTAATCGTTATTATGATTAGGAATTGAACTCTA